ATAACCCCCCCCCCCCGCCCCCCCCCACAAAAAAAGAAAAGAATTATTGCATATGGTTGGCTATGCTAAGAACTAAATAAGAAGATTTTATAAATTCTTCGATGAATGAAGTTGGAAATATACAAGTTCCACTTTATTAGAAAAATAAGTAACTTTTTTTTTATCATGAATCAGAATAATTATTATTCAAATATATCTAGAAAAAAATAGTAAAATAAATTTAATTAAGCTTCTGTTTGATGGCCATTATTTGAAAAGGGGAGTTTTGAATAGTAATTTTTTCGTAGAATTGTGGTTAAAAAGTAGTGAAAAGTTTTGGTTCCCTGCTGTTTCAACTGATGATTGATTTGATAATATAATAAAATGTTACTCTGTTTTTTCATGTGACGGCATAAAGTAACCGTAATTGCCACCACAGTGACAAGCCCTGCGGACAGAAGAAGATTATTTGCACAGATACTTAGGGGCAGCTTACGTTGATGGTATGAGATAGTTTCATAATTTAGATTTGTAATGTAGTAAGTCTAGATTTAAGTGGTGGAGATGCGTAGAGGTCGCCTGTGTGTTCTATTCCTATACTCTCAATGATAAGCTATAGAACCTCTAAAGAACTTTCATCTCATGTAGGATACTGAATCTGCTGTAATCACTAGAAATTGGCTTTATCATATGTATGCCCTGCAAATAAGTATTGCTCGAATCCCTCCTCCTCTTCTCTTTATCATATGGCCACAAGCTCAGGAGCTCCTTAACTCTTTAGGTTGGATCTCTCAGTCCTATAAGATAAATCATCCAAGTCAAACATTTGGTCTTCCATAACTTTTCTTCAAGTCACTACGCTATACTCCAAATCAAACTTTGCTCATCTATTCATTTGTGTTACTTATAGGTTTTTAGATGTATGGATTCTTTCTTCATAAAGTACACACTTTTTATCATCTGTCGAGTTTGTTTACTTTTCTTGCAGGGGCGCATCCTTACTCTTGCTGGGGTTACTATAGTGATTAGCTGTGCACCGATTGTTGCCTTCATAAATCTGATTTCTTTAGCTGTGTGGCCATCATGGATTGCAGTTGCCATCTCTGAAACCGTACAGAAGGTATATTTTGCCCTTCCTATGCTTTTATTGTTTATTATCATGTACAGAGAAAGATCATTGTTTTATACAAATGTGAAAATATTCCTAACCTGTGATAATATTTCTAACCTGTTTCTTCAGATGGTTACATATGTTATTACCAGGCCTGGAAGGGAGCTCCTTTTCACTGTTGTTACACAAAATGAGAAGTATAAAGCAAAGGTATGAAAATGTATATCCATTCTTCTATTTTCATGGTAATGATTTTTTTTTTTTTTTTCTTTCCCTAGATTATAATATGCAGGGTGCCAAAAGATCATTTATATATTCATCTGGGAGTATCGTAATTTCCAAAATAAAATGAAATAGAAAAGGCTGAGGAGTATCACACTTACTCATAGTTGAAATAGAGCCCATAAAATTTGCTAATTGCTTCCTTCACTTCAATGGAGAAACTGGAATAAATAGATTGATTCTATTTTGATGTATTATATAGTTTTCATGCATCAAATAGACAAGTGCTAGCATGTTATATGATGATAATTTTTGACAGTAAACATTAATTATTCCACAGGTATGCATAGATGTAATTGTTCAAAGGCTTGGAGATGCCACTGCTGCTGCGATCTATAAGCTACTTTTCAGCACTCTAAAAGGCGAAGCATCAATTGTTGCTCTCTATGCATTGCCAGTATGTAAAGATATATGATTTATTATTATAGTTTTCACCATATTATAAAATGCAAACTCTAGCAATTTCTTAATTTTTGCCATCTTACGAAAGAAAGCTTATTTACTCTTTTGCCATATCAGGTTTGCTTTGTATCGACTGTGACTGCTGACCATTTAGGATGCCGGCGAACACAACTTGCAAAGCTAAGAGCGTCTCAACCACCCGAGGCTTCTTAAAGATGATATTTCGTAGAATTCCATGTACAATATGTGAGTCGAATTAGATAATTTTGGTTATATAATTTTAATTTTGAAATAGAGACGTGAAGAGAAATATAAATGCGTCCCATCTCCCACTTTAAGTTGATTATATTTTTCCATTTTTTGTTGATAGGCTATGGGTGCCAACAAGTTTGTGATGTAGGAAATGTAGTATAGGATGGCTCCTTGTTACGTTTTCGAGGCTGCTACAGGTACTAATAGTTCATGTTACATTTTCATGATTGATCAATCTTTTGCCCTTCAACTTGAATATATTATTTATCGTTTTGGCCTAATGACATAAAAAGCAGGATTTAGAACCAAAATCTTTATGATCGACTTCTATACCATGATGCTTTATAGATAGCATGAATTGTAGTTGTCATACCTAGTGATGGCAATGGGCCGAGCCGCCGCGAGCTAGGCTCGAGGGCTCGGCCCACGAGCTCCCGAGCTCACGAGCCACGAGCTCGTGTTTTTTTTTTTTTTTTTTTTTTTTTTTTTTTTTTTTTTTTTTTTTTTTTTTTTTTTTTTCGAGTTTTAATGAGTCCTTCGAGTCATACCTTACCTGTCGTTCGATTCGGTTGGTATTGGGTCACCACTTAGGTAGCTAGTAATAACTTGAAAATGATATATTTGAAATATATTCTTGGCATGCTTAAAAATGTAGCAATATAGTTAAAGCGTGAAAGGATAATTTCTACTCTTCGGTTAGGCAAAGCCACTAGAAATCTTATGCTCTGAATGTAATTCTTTTTTGGAACTCACAAACGAGAATTTTGCTTCGGGCAATGTTTGGTAGAATCAGGGGCGAATCTAGGAGTTTGAGTCAGCACGAGCGGTCATTGACCATCTACCATCGGCCACAATAAAATATTAGGAGTCCCTTCGATACCCAATTTTTTTTGTAAGAAAAAAAAAGGAATAGTGATTTGATGGAGAACGTGTGACTAAAAATAAAGAATAGTTTCGAATTTACGTGCAATATTATTTTATTGAAAAATATACGGATGAAAAGAAGAAAGAAAAAATGTATTTTGAAAAAAATAGGAATCGAACAAGGCCTAAAGTGTAAATATAATAATTATTTTGTTTAAACTGAACATATATAATTTTGTTATAAGAATAAATAGAACTCATCAAATGACATTGGTGTCAAATTTTGCATAATTCAAAGGAATAGTGCAAGTTCAAATCTTTGAAAGTGTATGTGTTAAAAAAGTCAAAACATAACAAATATTATTTTGTTGAATCTACTAACACAATTCAAGAGATGCCATAATGGTTAAGCTTACAACAATCCTTGCTTGAGATCACAAGTTCGAATTCTCATTTCTCCCTTTTCGTATTGAATTTTGGTAAAAACTTATAGAATAAAAATAATACCTAACAAATCCCTTGACAAGGGATTCGAACCTAATACTTTAATTACCATTTATGCCGTCCTCACCAACTCAGCTAGAAGGTTGTTTGGAAATAGGATTAATAACCAGAAATATAAAGTAAAAATTTAATCTATGTTAAAAAAAAAAAAAAAAAAAAAATTCTTCCAACGGATCCGCCACTGGGTAGAATAGAGGAAGGTCTCACTGATACTCTACTTATCCTTCGCTTGGGACGTGGGACTGAGGGTGTTTTTTTTTTTTTTACACTGATTTTGCACGTGCAATTCCCACGTGAGGAATTATATAGCTCCAGTGAAAAGATTTGGAGTATTCGAATGTTTAATGATGCTAAATTCTCTTTTCTTTCTTAGCCCCTGTTTGACCTCCATTACGTGGAAAAATTAATGGATCGAATAGTATTTTTTTGAAAAATAAGTGATTGAAAAAGAATTAAAAGTTTTCGATTTACATGTAATATTATTTTATAAAAGATTGTGTGATTGAAAATAAGAAAGATAAAAATGAAATTTAATGTAATGGGGCTCAAACAGGAGCTAAACGTAGTGAACAGTGAAGTGTCTTACCTTTTTGTCTGAATAAATAAAAGCCCAAAGTGTCATCTTTTATAACATGACACATACACATTCTGTTAATGTACCCATACTATTCACAAATTAATATATTGGCTAATAATTTGTTCCCACTGCCTTCCATTCCTGGGAATAACCAACAATATATTGTTGAAAGTAAAATTTAAATATACAAATTTGTTTCTTCATACTCCATTTGTCATATAAATATATGTTTTTTTCCCTTTTCATTTGTCCCAAATTATAAGTCACTTTACTTACTGAAGGTCTAGTTAATTTCTTAATTTTCTATGCCCTTATTTAGTGTACGTTGTTATCAACAAATATGAATTATCATTATTCAAGGTACGGATTTAATAGAAACAACGTAAGTACAATTTATAATTTCAACTATATGAATTTCATTTTCTTAATCCATGGGAAAATAGAAGCAAATTAACCTTGAGGGTCTCAGTGGTCAGGTCTTGGATTTAGTTCTCAATGGTCATCAATTCGAGTCCCTTCAGTGTTATTGAGATGAATACGCGGTTGTTAATTTCAGGGTGCCGTGGGATTAGTCGAGATGCACGTAAGTTGGTCTGGACACCCATGATTAAAAAAAAAAAAAGGCCGAAAATGGAAGCAAATTTATCTTTGTGGGATAGAGTGAGAAATAGATTATTAAGTTATTATAAGAGGTGATCTGAGGTACTATAAAATAGTTTAAGATGTTGGGTTTAAGTTTGTTCGCCACTCGTTTGTCAAAAATAAAATTTAAGTAATGGGTTTTCTCTTTGACAACTTATCTTGAGACAAGGTGATTCGGAAAAGAGAGAGATTCTTCCTTGTCATTATGAATATGTCAAAGTTCTTGTTATCAAACACAGTATTTTGATGTATTAAGGTTTAAATCAAGGGTAAAAAAAAAGGAAAAATTGGAGAGTTAATGAATTTATAACTTGATTTCAGAAGGATAGCTGAACTTTATTTTGTCATAATTTGATATTTAAAAGTAGGGAAAATTGCAGCAGCGATCCTTAACTTTTTCATTTTTTTTGCAGACTTTATTCTAACATTCATTTTGTTTCAACGGAGGTTCCTAACATTTTATAAATATGCACTTAAAGTCCGTCAAGATGGAAAAAGTTCAAAACACCGTCAATTGATTGAAAAAATTAAAGAGTCAACATTCAATAAAGCCATCCAAAAATGTAACAACATCCAATAAAATTGTCGCGATAGCAGATAGTTCAAAGAATTGGTCAACTAACGATGTTTTGGATGGTTTCAATCCAGATGGACATCAGGTGCATATTTATGAAAGGTTAGGGACCTTCGTTGCCACAAAATAAAAGTTAGGATAAAGTCTGTAAAAAAACGAAAAAGTGAGGAAACAATACTGCAATTTTCCCTTAAAAGTATATACTTATATTTTAGTTTAGTCACTTGACTCACTTCGTCCATCATCATTAGCTTCTAAAAAATGACATGAGTTGATATTTGACTATTTCTCCTTACAGGTTTAACATTTTGAAAGGAACTTCCTTAGGCAAGCATATTCACCTTAAAGCCAACTACAGATTTGTTCGAGTATTGCAATTAACTTTGGGTCCACACATTATTGAAATCTTTCGAACGGTTTAAAAATTCATCTTGCGCATTCACAGAGCTAAACGCTAGTAGTCCAATACTTAAAAAATTAAATTCCCCTAACCAATAATGCAAAACGGGTTATGCTATATGTACATTATGATGTCCATAATGTACAAGTGACATAATATTATTGGAGAGTTAAAAATCAGCTTTTTTCAATCTTCCAATCATGAAATTTCACATGTACATTATGGACACCTTTTATGGATATCATAATGTACGTATAGAATTATCCATGTGTTAAATAATTCTATTTAAAAACAAGGAAACGACAAACCACGTTTGTATAAAATATCTACATCCTATGTAGACTATCATTCAAACAAATAAAACTAGTTCTATACCAATTGCGTACAACTAATTTGACATTGTAGGATGTGATGGTCATTAATTGTTTTACGTATTGTTGAAGTTATTGACAAAATAATGTGCCATATCACGAAATATAAACAAAATTGTCAAGCACAACTCATCAATTCATAATAAATAGACCTCACTTTTCCTACCTATATCTCAACATTTCATTCAGACCAGTCATCTTCTTGGCAGGTCAAGTTGACGTACCTAATTGATTTTGCATTTTTTACCTTAGTTCCTTCGCTTGTAGGGATCAAATTTTCTATGTATAGAATAATAACTTATTATATATCTTGGCATTTTTTGTTAAAAATTGTCATTGGAGATTTACTAAGTTGATTTTGTGCTTCTAAAATCTTGTTAATTCGAATGTTGTTGTGTTGATTTCCATTCATTTTACATATGGGAGATATGCCTTCTAATTTTCGTCAAAGGCTTCTTTGAACGTTCTTACACTAAAATTTGTCGAAGAAAAGGTAGATAGCGGGCACCAACATTCTCCTTGAACATAACAAGATACATGGCCCCCTATTTGCAGCAGATTAAAATCAATGTCTTAATAAATTATGATTAGAGTTAATGAAATTTGTATATGAAAGTTCTGGATTCCATGGAACGTGTAATTAAAATTAATTGTTCACTTTCACTTATAATTTTAAGTAAATTTTAATTTATATCAAACAGAGACATAATAGAAGTTGAAATATTTTATCATAAAAGCGTTTTACTCATTCCATTCAGCATAAATCGAATAACATATAATGCCACTCGAAAAACGTAATTATTCATCACAAAAATCCATTCATATCTATACATTTACAAACACATCAATATCAAGATTGTGATGTATTTTTCTTCCTCATTCACTTCTCATTTCTTTATTGCATTCTTTATATTATAATAAATATTAGACCATGGCCAACCAATTATGCATTGCTTCCTTGTGGCTTTCTTCTTGGACTTACTTTTCAAGTATCATTATTTCAATTAATTATGTGACATTTGAAAACATATTTTGCTATTTGGTATTAACCTCGTAAGACTAAATATTGTGTACCAAACACGTCCTAAATTGTCAACCATGATACATAAAAAATACATAATAGTTTTCAATTACTAATTCTACTAAAAATTTAAATTTACAAATGATTATTCCCTTCTAAGATTCCATTATTCACAAGGGAATCGCTCTTAGAACCCTTAATCAATCCTGATTTTTTCAAAAATTCCTCACCCCAATCCCATAAATGCAATACAATATAAGTCCCAATACCTCCAATCAAACCATAAGCAATTGAATATGTCATTGGCATCAAAATCAGAGTCAAAAACGCCGGAATAGCCTGCTTCATGTCATTCCACTCCACCTCCGTCACAGAAGTCATCATCAAAACGCCCACCAATATCAGCGGCGGCCCCACCGCCCATGCCGGAATTGACGCCAGCAACGGCGTGAAGAAAAATGCCAGCATAAAATATGCCGCCACTGTCAAAGCGGTTATGCCCGTCTTGCCACCTTCTCGTATCCCTGTCGATGACTCGATAAATACAGTCACCGGTGACGTGCCTAATAAAGAACCCACAACTATGGATGATGCATCGGACATGAACGCGAAATATTGCCCCTCGAAATTGCCATTATCGTCCGTGAATCCGGCGAAACGTGCCATCGANCCAATGGCAGAGACGAACAAGAAGATTAGGCCTTCGATGAATACGGCCGCCAGTGCGCTTTGATACGAGACATTGCCGGAGCCGTGGAAGCCCACCACTGTGTAAGCGAAATACGCGTTTGTGCCCATTCCGGGGGCTAATGCTAAAGGGAGATTCGCGAAGATGCCCATTATCACGCAACCGATGAGGGAGGATGCCACGGTGGCAACAATAAGGTCCCTTCGGATTCTCTCGAGGCAGGCGGCATAGCCGGGATTGACGGGGTCAAACTTGCAGGAGACGTCAGGCTGCACGAGGCGGAGATTGGGATTGTTTGTGCAGTTAGATGGCGGCACAGAGGGGTCTGAACAGAGTGGGATGCAATCCGAGACTGAGCAAGTGCCGCCGGAATCTGACAAAATAGATGCATTCACGGCCAGGATGTAGGCCATAGTGAGAAACGTGGCTGTTCCGGCTCGGAGCTCGGTGGAGAAGCTGGTATTTCGCTCGGCGATCTTGAAGCGCTTCCCGGCCCGACTTTCTGCGACATATGTGTTAACGCCTGTCAGCCATGATTTCCTGGTGGATGACGGCGGCGCTATTGGTTGTGGTGGTGGTGGTGATGGCGGCCCAGACTCCATGTCCATTTTAGTCGAGTATTCTGTGATCCTCAATTTTGTTTGAGGTGGTCAGTGGACTATATATATAGGCATAACTAGAAACTAATTTATTAATATTGAATAACAATCAACTTATAATTTATCTATTTTTTCTATACACATTTACAAGAATACCTAGTCAAATTTTTGAATTTTCTCGATTTCTACTTAATCATATAAAAATAATATTTACATATTATATATAATATTTTTTCATTCTCCTTATATAAAAATCTTGATTCGGCCAGAAATGATTCTATTTATGAGTATATAATATTACAAATATCGACCTGTCATGTTCTCTTAAACGAAGTTAAATTAATCATTCATGAAAATAAAAGTTTGACAAAACAACTTTAGTAGATTATGAGTTGTGAATTGTACGTATGCGAATAATAATTATGTAAAATTTGAGTTATATGCCGATAAAAAATATTATTAGACCAAATTATAAACAATTATAAATTTTATCAAACATTAATAAGTAGGAACGTGGTTTAGTCGACATAAATTAAGCACATGGGTGTTGAATATTTGGCAATAAGAATATGTAGCAAATTTTATAATAACAATATATAGTAAGATTAGCTGTCAAAAATTTGACTTTGACCAAAAAATTGTAAGCACGGACCGTTCACACTGAAATGACTAATATGATTCTAATTTTTGTTTCACATTACATAGGATGTATGACCAAATTTACAACTCTTCCACTTATATTATTTTATTTTAATATGATTTTAATTAAAAATATATATGCAATTTAAAATAAAAATCTATATATGGATGGACATTTTGTCATCCTAATATTTCTGTTTCGATTTTACTTCTAATTAGTGTTGTCAAGATTTAATATACGAGATTATTTTATAAATATGAATGTTGTTTCATTTATATTTTCTATTTTATTTGCAATATTGATGAGAGTGAAAAAAAAAATTGTATTGAACACAATTAAATAATCGACAATTCTTTATATTTTAGGTGTTTTGAATTTTTTTTTTTTACTATAAAAAAATTATAAATTTTTCAATATGAGAATTACCAAAGGAAAGAAAACAAGTTTTGTACAAAATTTAAAGTCCAAAAATTTCGTCTAATACAATATATTTTTCATCTTAATTTGCAATCATATCGTTAAGAATGTTAACCAACCGAGTCAAGTCGAGTCGAGCCGACACCCCGAAATGGGGCTAGACCTGAGCCTAGACTCGATTCGTCCAAGTCACGAGCTGGGTTGGCTCTGACATTTTCCGAACCGAGCTACGGGCCACCCAAATCAACGAGCCAAATTGATACCCCTATATATCATGGTCAAACAAAACTCTACTCTAGTCACTATGTATAAAAATTCCATTTTATCATTCTACGATTTATATATATTTATTATTAGAGTATCGAAATGTTCTCGGAGAGTACTCAACTCAGCTGCCTTTGTACATAGGGTGATTATATTATCGCATTGTAATCTTTTGTTCTGTCACATTTTAAATGTCACAAGGGTCCTCAACATTTGCTCTTGTCACATTTGTATCCCTAACCTTTAATATTGCAACCTTATCTTTTACATTTAATTAACTACCACACAATCCATGATAACAATTTTCATCCAAAAAGTTTTATTAGAGAATGTAAAAATACTTATTTGCCCTTCATATTTTTGAATAAATGAAAAAAAATAGGTACAAAAATACAACAAAATGTCTGCTCACTGTTTCTAAGCGCATAAATAGAATATTTGAATGGAATAATTAGGGAGTAGATGAATGTATTGATGTAAAATTGAGAATAATATTGAAAAAGTTAAAGATAGGGACATAAGTTCGAAAATAAAATTTAGGAATAAAATCTACGAGATTGTTGATGTAATTGAGGTCGTGTAATCTCATTTTGTATATTTTTTTAAAGAATTTTATTTATGAAATTCTACGAGCTTATAATATAATTCATGCCAATGAAAACATATGGGTCATCAATCAATTTTATTTATTTTTTTTCTTGCATAGAAATTAGTAGAAATTACCAAACACGCGAGACAAAATAATGGATTTGAATTGAAATTAGGAATTTAGGATATATTTTTGACTTTACTAATAATCAACAATTTGAAATCCACAATTTGTAAAGTTCCACAAGTAATCTCTTTGATTTTTAGCAGGATTTTGTCAAATTCTGATTTTTTTTCCTTTTATTATTTGACTAACTCAAATTGTAACGAATAGCATAAAATGAAAATAAATAAAATTGTTTTTCTTACATATTTACTGAAAATAAATTCAGAATTTTTTTAGTTTCGAACCTGAATTTTACGTTTATTTGACAATTCTAAAACATCGTAGCAAACTTTGTAACTGACTTTACTAGACAATAAGTCATCCAACTGGAAAAGTCTAGGTCAAATACTAAGGCTCACCTGCATGACAAATTCTTCTTTTATAGTTCGTCTCACATCTTCATGAATAAATGATGACGTTATATATATATATATATATATATATTCAGTAAATAAGATCGTCTAAATATTCGCGTTTATATTGTATCAAGAATAAATGATTTGAATTTTTACCTAAATTCGATGATAAATTTTTAAATTAATTCCGAATCTCGAACTTCCAGCTTTTAATTCCCAGAACTTGAGATTTCAAAACTCCTATCTCCAAGGGTATTCTCCAAATTCAAGATTGTACCGGTGGGTGAGTATCTTCTTTTTTGTGAAATCAAGAAACTAATTTTTTAAACTGGATGATTGAATAAAACAAGAAAATAATTATTTCTCTCTCTTCTTCTATTTCCAAATTTGAACACTATGATGTTGTGTATTATGATTACTATTTCCCATAGGATAGTTTCAATCTAATCTCTATTTATAGAAATAAAATAATTTCAATCCTTGTATAATAATAATTCCACATTCAAATAAGAGTTCTAATTAAAATTTAAATACGAGTTTTAATTAAAGTTCAAATCCAATTAATTTACATTTAATTACATATGTAATCCTAAAACTTCAAATACAAGTATAATTAAGTTTTCAATTTTTATAATAATTACAAGTACAAAACTTTATTATAATGACAATTAAGTCCAAAATTATTATCATTACCGTAATTAAGTTTCAATATTTTATGGAGCTACCATTGGGACTTGATCAGACATATATTATTCAAGCTCTAATAATTAGATCTTGTCTAGTCAACCTAGACCACCAAATCTAATTATTAGTCTATGTTTCTTTCACTAAAGACAAAAAATTGAACTCTTGAAATATATAAGATCACGAAAATAAATAAATCTGTAATACTCTTCTCTGACCTATCGTATATGTATTTTATCCCCATCCGAGATCCGATAATTGGGCACGAGCATAAACGACCATTTTGCCCTTCTAATTATTTTTACTAACTTATGTATCATTTTTTTCAACAAATCTTGTGAACTAATTATAGACGTTGAAATTTGGTCATCATTAAACATTGAGTTCAAATTTTAACCATTCAATAAAAAATACTTAAGTATTCATTCTACCCATTTCTCAGGGTGACGATTCCAGACTCGAATTCTTGTTTTCTATTTCGCTCATTCTCAAGTTTTCAACTCATCGAAATAGTTGACACAAATTGATCTCACACATTTATGAATTAAAGAAAAATCACGAAAAGATGTACATAACCGTGTTAAGGGATTTAAATGAAATAGACAATGGTCAAATGGAATTTAATTTTCCTTACGATCATACTATAAAATTAAATTCGGCACGTGGTCCGTTCAATATACTCCAAGTACACTACTGTCACATTTAACTATTTTTACGATAAAAACAATCACAAACCTAAATAGTGAATCAATTAACACTATAAGCTTCCAGTACAAGGTGACAACCCTTATACATTGGTTGTGAACAAATTATTTATGATCAAAAAATAAGTTGTGTCACACTTAACTCATCAATGCAACTACTCTACTTATATTATCACAAGTAATCATAGACACTTTAATTCATATTCTCAATAATAAATAAATAAAACAAATAAATAAAATCAGAATTTATTTATTATAAATTCTTTTATATATATTGGTTTCGGACAGAGTTTAATTAACTGAGTTACATATTGAAAACGTCTTCTTTTGATATATTCAATTAATCTGCCATTGATTGATTTCTACGGATTTTAAAAGTACATCTCAATTTATTGAACGTGTCGTTAATTTCGTTCGAGTACGTTATATTTTATATAATTAAACAATTTAACAAATATATATACATGATTGAAACAGTGCGCAACAATCAATCAAAGAAACGTAATAAAAACTTAAAGTGCAAGACTACGACTTTGATATCACGATGCCATGATCGAAAAGTAATAATAACTTAGCTCCCGTTTGACGCTCGTTACTTGAAAATGAAAATGGGGGGAATAATATTTTTTAGAAAAATGAGTGATTGAAAAAGAAGGAAAATTTTTTCAATTTACGTGTAATATTATTTTATGGAAGATTGTGTAATTAAAAATAGAAGAGAAAAAAATGAAATGTAATGTAATTTAATTTAATGGGGATCAAACAAGGGCTTAATGTGCGGGACTACGACTTTGATATACGATGCCACGACCGAACTCTCTTACCAATTAAATCTCTTTAAAAAGGACGGTGGCGCACTGGTATTGGTCGGATACTGTACTGGGACAGCAAACTATAGTCTGGTGTCCTATGTAAACGGGTGAAGGCCCAATCAGAAAAGGCCGTGTTAAAAAATTCTCTATATTACTTGCATTAGAATTCCGATACATTACGTCCCTATTATACTAAAATTTCAGGCTAGTATAATAAAAATATTATTTTGTCAAAATTTTCTAAACTAATCTAAATATATCACGTCATTTTTATCAGCGTTATTCTTGAGGTACATAGAGAGGCACATAAGGATGTTCAAGCCCGATGCTCCCCTATTGGAGGGGGGCGTCCAGTGTCTATTTTGAACACCTTTATGTAATTGGTTACGTACCACCAAGAAATCAAAAACCTTAGTGATATAGTATTTCTGGGT